TTTTGTCTCAACATTAAAAATATGATGTGGCATGTTCTTTGGGGAATTGAGTTAAGTGAGAGATTGTGAATTATTTATTCACGTTTCACAGCAATGGCCAAATACTCAGCATTCTGTTTTAGGTTCACTGGTAAATCTCTTGAAGAACTGACACTTTCTATAAAATTTATTCTATTCGGAACAAATATAATTGACTGAACAGTATATATGATAGATACATAGGATGAAGTGCACACGGAATATAGACGAAGATAATAAGCATACACTGGAGAAAATGTTCATTAATGCTCAAAAAAGGAAAGCAGGATACTCAGTGAATGAACCCCTTGTAAAGTAGGCAGACCCGATGTTGGGTTTTGTGCCTCAACATCAGCAATCCGTTCAGCTGTAGGCACCTGTGGGGCATCCCCAGCCATTTAACTGAAGAGACTTCAGTGCTGGGGAACTTCCGAGAGGCTCCTTAAGCACTAGACTCTACCTGATCGAACAAGCGCTCTAAAACTAGGTTAAGGCAGCTGGCAGAATTGCTTGATTGTTGTACCAAAACGACATTTGATAAATTAACCTTGCAAACTCGGAACAATTCAGACCTGATAAATCGGTGCGATGAAGTCCAATTTCTCCCTCTCCTTGCTAGGTTCTCTTTGTAAACAATTTTCATTGTCTTTGCCAATCTTCTAGTTCCTAATGGGCACATCCTTTAGCAAGATGAAGTAATAGTTAAGGCAGAGTATAAGAGAGGTTATAGAAGTCAATTTTCTAGGTACGCCAGGTGTGTCATAACTTGTACAAGCTTTCAAGGGGTAATGTGGATGAGAGTTAAGTTACCATGCTCAGGCAGTCACTTGTGGAAGGGAAGATCCTAGAAAACTCGTAGATAGCAAAGACTGCAGATGATGGAGTCAGAGACAACACAGTGTGGAGCTGGGAGAGACAGGCTCTGAGGTTGGGTAAGGTTGATTGTAGTACCAGAAGATACCGGCACATTGCTGAGAGTGTGTTTTGAGGATCCGTGAAGAAGACTGTTTTTGAAGGCTCAGGATGGACTGTAGGTAGTGGTTGTCACGGTTTGAGCCAAATTGGGATGGCCTGAATGTTTGTGGAGTCTACTGGGGATGATCCAGCTTGCTCCACACTGTGTTGTCCAAGATCCAAGACCTTAATGCTCCAGATATAAATATCATTGGCCTAGGAATGAGAGGTGTAAGTCACCCTTGCCACTCATTAGAACAAGGATGTATAAACTCTGCCGAGGGAGATATTGTTAATCACCTGCTTGTAGACCCCACTCTGTTCAGTAAACTGGGTAACCAACTTGTTAGATAATTAAGGAGTTTATGGCATCTTGATCTCAGCTGCTGTTGCATCATCAGCTAGCCAGTTAATGCTGAATTATAGTTACTCTACTGAGTTGTCTTTCTGGTCTCTGTTACTCAACACTGATAAAAATTTGCATTTACCTGACGTCTAAGACATGGTAAAAATGAGCTAAAGTTCTTCACAGGATCAGAATCAGGTTTTTTAAAGAGGGATCAAATCAAAGAAGGATTAATTGGGACAGTTTATTTAAAATCTGTTCAAAGTTTTAGGAAGGGTTATCAATGGTGACAGGGAGATGGGAATGGACAAGGGGCCGGAGTTAGAAGAGCACAGGGTTCTTGAAGGTGCCTAGGGATGGAGGAATTTATGGATAGAGAGTGAGAAGGCCAAGAATTTTGGGTGAGGATGGGTATTTCAAAATGGAGGCATTCAGGGACTGGGAACCAATGGTAGGCCAGTGAGCCCATGGTGAACAGGATTTAGGTGTGAATGAAGAGACAGGAAGCAGAGTTTTGAAAACACCAGGAGAACACAGAAATGGTCAAATCTGAATTTCGGAAAAGGAGTAGGCCATTCAACTAATCCAGCCTGTCCTGCCATTCAATATGATCATGGCTAATCCAACACTTCAATGCATCCTCGTAACCCTACACACCACCGGTAATCAGAAATCTATCAATACCTTCCTTAAACACAGTTGAAGTCTGAGCCTCCACAGCCTTCAGTACTAGAGAATTCCATTGATTCACAACCCTCTGAGTTAAAAGAAATCTCTGCATCTTGGACCTAAGTGATATCAGGCTTATTTTTAAATTGTGCCTGCTGGTTCTAGCTTGCTCAGCCAGGTGAAACAGTTTACCCACATCTCCCTTTAAGTATAGTATTTTTTATAAATGAATACAGGAATGGTCAAATTTAAAAGTACCAGAAACATGCACATGGGTTTCAGCCACAGATCGGCTGAGACTTGATGAAGCTGGGTGATATTCCAACCATGGAAGCAAGCAATTGTGATAATGGAAAGAATTATCGGGTCAGACCCTTGGGGTCAATAGTCTGTGGCTGCGAACAGTCTGACACAGATGAGGCAGTTGCCAGATTTGATTGTGAGGGAAGGATTTTGTGGAGATGACAGTGACTTTGATCTGGAGAAAATTTTGACTCACTCAGGTCTGTATATTGAATAAATTGCACAACAGTAGTGGTGATGTAGAACTAGCACACAAGTGAATCGTGATGTGTTTGGTAACTGCGCGGTCATTATTTGCTAGATAACCCATTTATCCATGCACCTCTTATTATACTTATGGTTAATGTTTACAGTTATAAATCTTTGTTCATTAATGACTTGCTGCCTGGCCTCTCTGACTTGTTTTATGATCCTGGCTGGTGATAATACTGGACACCTTAGGTCCCAGACTGAAACGTGGCTTTATAGATCATAAGTATTACTTTTGTAATTTGATTACTGTGGTGGTCAGTCACTGAGCATATTCACAAAAGGCTGCCAATGTAATTTAAAAAGAACACATCAATGTTTATTACTCACAAAAGGGGGAAAAATCAAAGCTACAAATATAAATTCAAGACAATCTGGAAAGTGCTTAGCTGTAGTGATTGGAATTAGGTGGATCTTATTGAGTATGAGATCCCTGATTGGGATTGTTAATCTGGGCCAATCCGGGAGCCCTGCCTGACAGATATAAAGAAGGGATTCAGAATCTCCTCACCAACTCCCTACATCCAGTGTACTGTAGAATTGTAAATAAAGGTGACTTGGTAATGGGATACTGGCCTCTGTGCAATTATCTCATTGTCATAAACAGCAAGAAGAAAGACTCAAACTCTTTTCCCAGCAATATCTAGTACAGACACTCAACCCCAGTGAAGTATCACTCTTACCTTCACTTTTCCACTCTCAACTGCTGAGGTAGTATCCTCTCGCGCCACAGCGGTAGTGACCCTAACCCTGGACCAGGAGGCTTGCGTTCAAGTCCCACCTCCTCAAGGCGGGTATAATAACATCTCTGAACAGGTTGGTTAGGACAGTTGTCAGCTGATGAGATTGCAAAATATTTGCTTTCAGTGAATTTCTGCGCATTACAGACATGATTCTCTTCCTTAATGTCAAATTACTCAGACAGAGGCTTACTCACTGAACTGAAAATGTTTGTCTTCTGACTTCTCTTTTAGTGGATTGTAAGAGCTCCTTATGTAATGTGATCCTACAGAAAACAGGCCTGCTGCCTTTGCTGTACTTTAAAGTAATCTAATTCTTTCCAACAGGCCTTTGTACGTGCTGTATATCCCATGTAACATAATCTTACAGAAACTGGCCTGTTTTTTTGTGCTGCAAATTATATGCAACTTAATCGTATGACCTGAATTAATGTTTGCAATGGTCCATTACGACTGGAAAGCTGGACATTTCTTGGGGGAAGAGCTTTGAATCCAGAGGGAACTGACCAGTGAAGGAGGACCTGCATTTATGTAGCGCAAAGATGCGCAGCCAATGAAATACTTTCCAGCAGGTCACCGCTGCTGCGGAATAGCTGACGCTAAGGACAGCGAGCAGCGCAAGAAATGTGAGTGGTACAAAGTGATGGCAACACACAGCAGGTAGAAGTTATAAACAAGAAAATTGTTATTTCTTTTTATGGGGAGGGTGTGGGCAGAGAGTGAGCCTGCTCCCTTTCCCAATAGTAGGTGGCATAATAAATATTAATAATAATAAAAGAAACGTATTTGGGTGAAATGTGTTCTGAAGCGTTGAGATGTTTGTTGTTTTGGTATTTACTGTGAGGTTTTAAAAGATGTGACTCCCTCCGCTGGGTTTGTGTGAACTGTTTTGCTCACAGTCGGGTTGTTGTTGTATTGTTTATGGCCGGGGGTGGGGGGGGTGGTTTGGAGGGTAGGGGACAGTAACAGTGACAGGAGCACCCCCCACTCCCCCTCCGGGACAGAGACAGCGAACCGCCCGCTTCAAGGAGCAACCTCCCGGACCCCGGGGCTCAGCGGCAGCGGGGGGTAAGGAGCGGGGACAG